GTCCTTAAAGTGACAGAGGAGCCTCCAAACAGATCCATTGCTAGGGAGGAAGAGGAGAAGGAATAGCTTGGGTGGGGGACGGAAGGAGGAGGGAGGAAGAAGAGTCTGAGAATTGGCCCAGGAAGATGGGTCAGTGCTAGCCTGCAAATGCCTCAGTGGAAGACCAGCCAAGGCTAGTCTTCATCAACTGGGCAAGAGCATGATGAAAGCCACATGCAGAGACTTCCAGAAGGAATATGCTGGGCGTGTAGCACGTGAAAGTGAACTGAATACGGGAGAAAGTAGGAAACAGGCTGCTTGGCCATCCTGCCCTGTCGGTTAGCTTTTATTGTGAGATAAAATTCATTTACAGCATAGCTACCCTCTTCTTGGATATAAATGTCTTGTGTTGAATCAAATCAAGAAGCAAAGAAGAGTAGACTGAGAGCTAGCATGAAAGACAGGATATAAGATGGCACAACCAACCTTCACTGTTTATAACCTCCAAATGCCAGGATGTGTACATCCCGCCGAAGCATGTAATCCTTCCCATACTGTCGTGAAATAGGACTTCATCAGAGAAGCCGTATCTGCAGCCCAAGCTGAAAGCGACCTCACTGCATTGAGGACTGCCCTTTCTGCCAGCCCGGGGCAGCACGAGTCCCTCATTCTGTGCCTGTGCAGGAAGATGCTCAGAATCCATGCTGAGGATTAGTTGTCGCTTTTAATATGACCGTCTTTCCAAAGGACGTTTTAAGGAAGCTTGGTCTTTTCATGAACTGAGTTAGACCCAGACTCCTTTCCGAGCCTGGGGAAGCCCCTAACACGGCCTGTGTCCCAGATTCCATTCTGAAGTTTGGCTGTAAACCCTCCATTAGCCACAGCTCCCCTACAGCAGGCGCTGACATCTAGAGCTGCTTCCTGTGCACCTTCCCCCACCCACAGGAAGAACTTCAGAACCGCCGAGCTATGAAGGTGCTGTCCAAACACCCCAGGTGCTTTAGTCATAAGAACAGGAAGGGGGAACAGACCGCATTCAGCTGCAAGTGGGTGGTTTTTAGAGTTCCAAGGTTAAGGTCAGCCAAATATTCTAAATTGAAATGCACCTTGCAACGGGCATCTCAGCACATCTCAGGTGACGGGCGAGGGAGGCTGTCCCTAATGAAGTATCATACCTAATGACTGATTCTAAAATGTAGATATTCCAAATTGAATTCATCTCTAAGCTTTTTCTTTACATTGTGCTTAATTATGATATTGAGAAGTCATTTATTTAAAAAAAAATATTAAAACATTAGCCAGTTCCTCTTGAGAAAAGCAGAGCACCCCAGTGTCAGAGCTGAACAGTCCTCCCCGCTCTGCAGACCCCATTGCTTATGGGTCCCTTTCTGTAGTTACCCACCGCTACCATCTTTTTTTTTCTTTAAGAAGGGTTGTTTAGTTTTTGAGACAAGGTCTAACTATGTAGTTCTAGTTAGTCTGGAACTCACTCTCTAAACCAAACTCACGGAGATCGCCTGCCTCTGCCTCCAAACCAAATCAAAGATGCGTACATAGACCACCACACCTCGCCCACCTTTTATTTTAATTAATTCAGAGGCAACAAGCACTTGCTGCTCTTGTGGAAGACCTGGTCCAGTTCTCAGTACCTATGTGGTGGCTTACAACTATCCATAACTCCAGTTTTAGGGGACCAGTGCCCTCTTCTTATTTTTGTGGGTGCCAAGCACACATGTGGCACACATACATACATGTAGGCAAAACACATAAAATAAAATGAATAAATCTATTAAAAATAAAAATATAATTGTTTCCTTCCATTCCTTTTCTTCATTCAACCTCCCCATTCTCTTTCAAGTTCATGTCCTCTTTGTTTATAATTGCTATTTTTCCAAATATATATAAGCACATAAATACATAAATACAACTCTCTGATTTCTTTCGCTGTTGTTTGCATGAACATGCTTTCAGAGCTGACATCTTGGTATTGAGTAATCAATAAGCGGACTCCTCCCTGGGGAAAGACTCCTCTCGCCCTTAGCTTCCTGTAGTTCTTTGTATAAGGACAAGACCCGTATTTTCCGTCTTCCTCTTTAGCCTGTCTATGGTGGTGTCCTTGTTGAGGTCTCATTTAGGTAGCCATATTGTTGAGGTGTCATAGGTGTGGCTTCCCTGTCATTTCTAGGAGAAAAGATTACAGCAGATTGCCTGGTCCCCTGGTTCTTATAATCTTTGCTCTTCCAAACTATCTCATGAGCCTTTAGTGCAGAGGTTTGTACTGTAGGTGTATCCCTTGGGATGCGCCCTTTAGTGCAGAGGTTTGTACCATAGGTGTATCCCTTGGGATGCACCCTACATGAGCAGTTGGTGTCTGCACTGTGACCTGTTGTGGTTTTCTGCAGCGGTCTGTATTTGCTGCAGAGCTTTGATAAGGGCTACTTTTCTGCAGCATTACCTTTTTGAAAGGCAACAAAACAGAAAACTTGCTCTAGCCATTGAGGAGGACATCTCCTACCCAAGTATTTTGCTTTAGTTTGTAGAGCTGCTTGCCCTCTTCTTCCCAACCCAGTCCTAGGACTAGGGGTTCTGTGGGCAGGAGCAGAAACCCCCAGTGCCATGATGAATACAGTGAAGGGTGCTCTTTAATCACCCCCATTAGCTACGGTAGGGTATACCTGTAAGCCCAGCACTTGGGGGGTACAGGCAGAAAGATGGGTTCAGGGTCATCCTTTACTACATACAAAGTTTAAGACCAGTGAGGCTGTATAATAATTCTGTCTCCAGGCTGGAGAGATGGCTCAGTGGTTAAGAGTATTGGCTGCTCTTTCAGAGGACCTGGGTTTGATTCCCAGCACCCACATGGCAGCTTACAACTGTCTGTAACTCCCATTTCCAAGGGTCCTGACACCCTCATACACATTGACAGATATGCAGGTAAAACACCAATCAATGCTCATAAACTGAAAATAAGTAAATCATTCAAAATGATTCTGTCTCAAAAAACTTAATAAAAAATAAGATTGCTTCCACCTCACTTGAATCAAGGTTCAAGGCACTATTCATCATCACCTGGCTTCCTTTTCCAGCTGATTTTCTTTAGCGAGAGAATCGGGCCTGGACTCCAGTTGGAGGCCCAGTGTGTAGTTCAACAAAGAAAGTATATTGTATCATATGAGCCCGTCCATTTCATCTTCAGCATCCTCGTCACCAAAGCTGCTGGGCATTTGCTATTTCCGTTGTCCCTAAGACACGTTGTTGCTGGAAAAGGTAAGAGAAATGCCGGGAACGCAGCCTGAAAGCTAGTGGGGGATGTCTCAGAGTCTCAGAGGTTCAGAGTGGACTAGCACAGCCAGGCATCAAGTGCCCCCTGCTGCCTGACATGGAGAAGGGCATGCTATAGTCATGCTTCATATTGAGAAAAGCTAGAGTGACCAGAAAGCCAGCTTGGGTAAGGACAGTCATGTGGCTGAAGCCCCAGGCATCCTAGGTCACCTGGATCCTCCCCAGTATGGAGATGAGTGGAGGCCATCTGACCGGCGAGGTAGCTTCGTATCAGTGAAAGTTCTGCTCTAGAACTGGAGTACTACCTCGTTGCTCCCTCTGCAGCTGTGTGGTCCATAGACCTATAGCATCACAATCACCCTGCTGCTTGTAGGAAATACAGACTCTGCCAGACACAGTCGTGCCTTTCTGTAAACCCAGCTACCCAGAAGGTTGCAGCAGGTGTGGGTCACAAGTTCCAAGCCGGCATGACTGACTTTGAAAACTGTACCAAAAAAAAAAAAAAGAGGTGGGGGCAAACAAAAGAAAGGAAAGGAAAAGAGGGAGGGAGGGAGAAAGGAAGGAAGGAAGGAAGGAAAGAAGGAAGGAAGGGGAAGAGAAGGGAAAGAAGAGAAAGGGAAGGAGAGGGAAGAGAAGGAAAGGAAAGGAAAGGAAAGGAAAGGAAAGGAAAGGAAGAAAAAAAAAAGGTAGTGGCTCCGGAGCTTTCTTGAAACAGACTCTCACTATGGAGCCTTGGCTAGCCTTAGCTCATGGCAATCCTACTGCTGTGGCCGTCTGAGTGCTGGAATTACAGGCATGTAACACCCTGTCTGGCTTCAACAATAACCTTTGAAAGGGCTGATCATAGCTCAGTAGCTAGAACATTTGCCTAGCATATACAGTGCCCTGAGTTCAGCACCGTAAAAGATGGAAAGAAAATGTCAACTCTCAGAGCCCAGACTGGATCTCCTAAATTCAAATCTGCATCTTAACGAGGTCACTGAATTTAGACACATCAATATCTGAGAGGCACCAGACATAGCTGTCAGTGGAGCCTTAGCCCTGAAGAAAGCCCACATTTTGCCCCAGAAGGCTCAATGGTAAAGGCCACCAAGCCTCATGGCCTAAATTTGATCTCCAGGACCCAAATGGTTGATGCAAAGAACTAACTCCCATAAATTGTCCTCTGACCTCCACACAGGTTCCATGGCACAGCTCACACATGCATATCCACATGTGTGTGCACATACAAAATCAGTGTAAAAAAAAAATGAAGTCCACATTGCCAAAGGTTTGAGTCCACTTGGATTGCATTGGGGAAATAAACAGGACTCAAGCAGAGCCTGATCCTCTCTCATTGTCATGATTGACACCCTCATTGCCTCCCACATCCACGTCTGCTCCATGCATCCTGGCATCCCTCGAGCTTGTATTTCCCATTTCTTGCTTTATTTCCGCAGAAGTTGACATTCACCACACAGTTTTCTTCCAGATCTGTCTGTTCCCAGCAGTAGTTTGTGTGTGTGTGTGTGTGTGTGTGTGTGTGTGTGTGTGTATGTGTGTGTGCCTTTTTGTTTGACCCATTTTTCTGTTTGTGTGCCTCCTGCTTACCCACTGCCTTTACTGCTTAAAGTACCCCCCAACCCTGCAAGACAGAGCTGTCTCCACAACCTCACCCTCAACCTTCCACCCCGTCTCCAAATCCATGCCTTGGTCCTATCAGTCTGTTGCTAACCTGAAGTGTTCTTTTCCCACACCAGGTCAGGGAAGAATGCCGGCTCCTGAACGCCCCACCTGTTCCACCCCGAAGCTCCAAGCCTTTATCCACAAGTCCCTCCATCCCTCCTCGCACAGCCAAGCCTGTTCGGCCACAGACACGCTCTCCCAGCCCCACCCTGTCCTACTATTCTTCAGGGCTGCATAACATGTAAGTCTTCCTGTCCGAAGCCACAGCAACCCAGCTCCTTACCAGCTTGAGAATATCATCTGGCGGCAGGGTGGGAGAGGAAGTGGGTGTTTGCCTCTTAAAGCTAAGGTTATAGGAAGAATATAGTTTGGCCCCTGCTGGGTTTGATGGAATAGCTGGTATCATGGTAAGAAAAGATTCCACAAGGGTCTGTGAGACACCAAGGAAAGCCCCTCCTCTTAGAAGCAGCGTGCGGGCTTCCATTGCTTCTCGGAAGCTGACTCTGGTTATTTTCATCTTGACTTGGATACAAGCAAACAACACCTTCTATCGGGACCTCAAACCCAAAAGCTCTCCCCTTGGCCTTCTGCTCTGAACTTGAACCCAGCAGGAATAATCCCCTCTTGGCGATGGCTGCAAAGATGCTCCTGTCTGGGTCTCTCCAGAACTCTGAGCTCTCACAAGACACAGCCTGCTTCACTACTGACAAATGGGCGTTGTTTTTTAAAAGGTTCTCTTCATTGCGCTCAAGTTATAGTATGTCTGGCTCTATGTAACTTTCAACTGTAGTTTGTCTAGAGAAACAAAACAGACCATCCCCGTTTTTCTCAGAAAACTAAGTTCTTCTGCGAAACAAAATGCCCGTTTCCTCTGCTGCTCCCCCAGACATGACCGCCCACTCCCCTCGGCCTGTTCACCAACCTTTCAGCATACTCTGGTCCCACCCCGTCAATATGAGAATATGGAAGTGTGGCCTCCAAGACGAATGAACCTCTGCCTGTGCTCTTAAACTTGAGAGTCTTTGCAGGCATGTTTTATTTCATTTTTCCTGTCTGGACATTAAAATGCTTATGCTATGTGTTAACTCTATTGTTTGAAACCAAGGCAAGGATAGGCATTTTGTCAGAAGCATTTTTTCCTAGCAGACCTTGGAGAGGATACAGAGTTATGGACAGTGGTGATGTGTCCAGAGCCTTGGTTCTTGTATGGTTGTGTGAGACACTTGCCACCACTCTGTCTCCACCCTTGCCCACCTCAGACGTTATCCTTCAGTGTCGGACCAAAGCGTGGCATGAAAAGTTTTCTCAATATGAAGACGCAGGCCCTGACGAACTGTACTTTCTTATTAGCTAAACTATACATTATTTATGTGTATGCATATATTATTTTTATCTCTACTACAGCATTTCAAATCATTATGCACATATCTACTAATACAAAGAAATTTAGTCTTCTTAAGAAAAAAGTTAATAGTAATTTATTAAATTCAAGAAGATGTATATATATGTGCGTGTGCATAGACGCGCGCGCACACACACACACACATACACACACATATTGCCCTTACACCTTAGAAATAACATCTGTGAATAATGATAAAGAAAAGCTTGGGGTTTGGCTGTTTTTAGAGAGGGTCTCACTATGAAAACCAGGTTGGCCTCGAACTCACAGAGCTCCCCCTACCTCCCAAGGGCTAGGGTTAAATTATATTTTACTAACTTCCTTTTCTGTGTTTTGTTTTGTTTTTTAAGCTGCACCACGAAGAGTGACCCAAGTCCTCCTGACAGTGCCCCTGTTTCCTGCTACCCTTGCAACCGAATAAAGAGTGACTCTGTGGACCCCAAGTCCCCGTTTGGAAGTCCTTCTGCTGACGCTCTGGCCTCCAGACTCTCGTGGCCCAACCATTACTCGGGAGCATCGGAGAGCCAGACACGGAGTGACTTCCTGCTCGATCCAAGCAGGAGCTACAGCTACCCCAGACAGAAGACACCTGGCACACCAAAGAGAAACTGCCCGGCCCCTTTTGACTTTGATGGCTGCGAGCTCTTAGGCAGCCCGCCCAGCACAGCCTCTGCAGAATTCAGCAGCAGCGGCGGCTCCAGTTGCCCCAAGTCCGCCAGCTACTCTCTGGAGAACTCCGAGGACCGCTCCCTTGCAGCTGGCATGACCAAGCAGAGCATCTCCTGCCCTGCCTTGCCCCCAAGGGCCCCAAAGCCAGTGGAACAGAGAACCACCCCTGAAACATCTCCTTTGCCTCTGAAAATTGATGGTGCTGAGGAGGACCCCACCGCGGGGTCGCTGGACCTCTCCGAGGACCAGTATTTTGTGAGAAAGGGCGCGCAGGACGTCTTCGCTGTCTCTTACCCGTTCTCATCTCCACTCCACCTCCAGCTGGCCCCCAGATCCTGTGGGGATGGTTCCCCATGGCAGCCACCTGCCGACCTATCCGGACTCTCGATAGAGGAAGTGTCCAAGTCCTTACGGTTCATTGGTTTGTCTGAAGACGTCATAGCTTTCTTTGTCACGGAAAAGATCGATGGGAATTTGCTTGTTCAGTTAACAGAAGAAATCCTCTCAGAGGATTTCAAACTAAGCAAACTGCAGGTGAAGAAAATAATGCAGTTTATAAATGGCTGGAGACCCAAGATATAGGCAAATGTCCTTGGTCAGCGTGAAACAGAGCTGGGAAAAGTGTGCCAGCAGGGTGGGCGGGGTCTCAAATCCACGTTTTTGCACTAAAAAAAAGAGAGAGAGAGAGAGAGAAAACAAAACAAAAGCCGTCTGTAAATAGAGCTAGAGAAAGTCTTACTATGCAGACTCCATTTCTGAATGGTGAACAGGCTATTTTGTACATCAATAAAGATGCTGCACAGAACACTTAGAGGTGTGCCTTGTACGTCACTCAACATTCAACAGCTGCTAAAAGAACTAAAGTCATATTCAGAGAACTCATTTTTACTCCAGTGGGTTTTCAAGAAGGCATGGTATTTATTACAAACAGCCAAAGCTGAAAGACATAAACACTTGGGAGCAGGCCCTTCCACGGGGAGTCAACGTCCGTCCATCCAACAGTTACTTGTATTCTGCGGCTTGCTTTGCTTCATGCCAATTGTTCAACTCTTGTGCCTGACGATGTTAGTGGTGTGAAATGACACTTTGATGTTATATGCTTGGTGGAGATCTTTTTATCAAAAGGCATTTTCCAAAAATCTTGATTTGATGGAGGACATCTGATGTCCTTGGAAATGACACAGATCATGACCATTTGATCTGTACCTGCTGCTAGTTTTATTGAGCAGAGAAAAAACAAAATAGGTATGTGTGTGTTCTTATGCAGCACATGCAGATATGTTGAAATGTAACTTTTGAATCTGATATTTTAAATAACATCTGTTAATTTTCTAATATCCATTGAGGTTTTAGGGGCCTTTAACTGAGTGAATTCTCTAAGACCAGTTGGCAGGATGATTCTAAAGAGTCTCAGACCCTGACCTTTGAAGCTTGGCCTTATAGGCTCCACCCTGAAAACTCAGGAGTGATCAGTCAGGAGTGTTGAAGGATTTAATGTGATATCTAAGCCCTGCGAGGGCTGATTCCTACAGACCCATGTGATGGTTGGGGACACGACAGCCACCTTCCTCCCATGTGTCCCAGGGAGAAATCTGAAAAGCATTTCTCCACAGATGTGAGGTCTTCTCTCCACACCTCTTGTGTTAGGAAAGCTCGTGACTCAGACAGACCACCTCTCTGTTATATACGCCACATCTCTGCACTGATTCGTAAATATCAATGAGTACTTGCTCATTCCACAGACCTCCTCTTTCTATTCCTCTAAAGTAATAATAATAACTAATAATAACAATTACCATACCCATATTCTGAGAATTCTAGAACGTATCTAAGGATTTTGCTAAATGTGATTAAATACTTTAAAATATAGCATCATATCCCCACCCTTGACTCTCTGAAGGCATATAACCTCAAAGAGTTCCTGTTTTTTTCTGAGCAACAAATATACCCTCCAAACAGTTCCTGGGTCTGTCCCCAGATTCTAACTGGGCAGACAATCTCTTACCAAGATGCACACCAGAGCTTCTCAGGTGAGGTTGTTTGGCCACCAGGAGGTAGTGTATTCTGAAGGATTGACCGTATCATGTCTTCCTACTCACCAAAAAAGAAATAACTGTTAAGAGCAAGAGTCAGCAGCCAGCACTTGCAGTCCTGTGAAGTACGTCACTATTTCTTTTTGTTAGAAAGCTCCTTCATTCCATCTTGTGATTTAGAGCTGAGATGAATTGACACCTAGTCTAGTTTGTCATTTCTGATCACATTAAAAGAAGCAAAGTTCGTTATCCCATCCTAACATGCATCCTAGATGTAAATACTACAGTGCAAGTCAAAAGAATCTTCCATAAAACTAAGTAGCTGGAGTGCTTCAGAAGCCATTCATGAATTGGTGAAGTTCCCGTTCTGCCCTCTCACAACCAAGACTTGTGGAAAATCTGTTTCAGAAAGCAACCCTCGGTGAGAGGAACTAACTCCTTAGAAAGTTTGCCTAGCCCAAGAGCATTACTTCCCTTGAGAATGAAGACAGACAACCTGCAGTAGAGGCACTGTGATCACTGCTGACAAACCTTCCTTTGTCCATCCTCTAGTACCCAGCACTTGACCGTGATTCTCAAGCTCATCCGCAGGCCACAGGGTTGGCTTGCATTTACTGTGAAGGTTGTCCCCACATAAACAATTGCCGTGATGCATCTTTTGCAAGAACCTTAAAATACGATTGTCCATCTTCTTTTAGTTTGCTTTGGTCCTGGTGTGCTTGTGCCAACTCTGTATTGATTGGGATCCTGGAGCCTCCCTGAGAGCAAGAATAGGCCTTGGAATCAGGCATTGATTGGACATTCACTGAGCCCTTTCTGTGTGCCAGACCCGAGGCTGAGGAAAGAGATGACCCCCGCTCTCTGAGAACTTGTTTATGTTTCAAAATCACAGTTGCTGACACTGTGTGTGCATGAGAGACTCTGGAGTTTTCCTGGAAGGTGGATTTATGGAGAGTATTGTGTCCCATCTTTAAGGAGCCCACAGATGGAAGCAATGACAGCCCCTTCTAAGACATACAGTAAATACCCCAAGACACTAACACTTGGAATACTTTAGAGGAAAAATGCTTCTGTCTTTCACTGTCTCCTGTTTTCTTTTACTGACTTGGAATTTTTTAATGATAATTAGTACTGGCATTTCTGAAAGCCACAAATAAGTATAATTGCCACTTCTGAGCTGAACACCTGTCTGCGGAGGATGTTGGCTAGACAAGGAATTCATAAGCCAGCAGAGGGAAAGAGACATGCTACATAGAGCAGAAGGCAGAAACAGCTCTCGCCTTCCACATCCCACCGTGGAACCTCTTCCAACCAGCCAGGTCAAGATAATACCTCTCTCTTTTTGTGGCAGATTCCCTGCAACCCCGTAAGTGACTGTGGGACTTGTGGAGAAGTACTGTCTAAACAGGATCTTTGGGTGATCCTTAAACTCATGTCTAAAATCTTCCTGCCCCCTCCCATCAGGAAAGAGCATCAGCAATAAAACAAGCCAAGCAGCTGAAATGTAAAATACGAAGTCAATTCAGAGTGAAAACTCCAGCATTCTCCCACCAATCCTGCCACAGAATCTTCCAACTCCCTGCACGTTCTGTCTTTAAGTTGAACTGCTCAAGTTTATGAACTGTGAAATGTCCATGTATACTCTCTCAGCCCACACACACCATTCAAATTTATGAAGTTGTACCAAACTGCCCATTCAGCTAAATTGTAGTGTTTATTCTTATCTTGCAGAAATGCCACAGCCTTATGGGAAATGTGATAGTCCATTCCAGCTGGTCAGATACCCGCATAACAAGCGCCACTCTCATTGCCCAGGCACCTGCCTAGCATGCACTCACCTCCTTGAGATTTCAGGGGGTAGGTGTGGACGGATGGAGAGCCCTTCATTTTCCTAGTGTGTTCCTCATGCCTAACATCTGGAAGTGTATACCCCGAGTAGCAAACTGGGGGACAAAATACTTCTCCAAAGAACCCAATAAATTTGTGTTGCAGTCTACCAAAAACTTAACATCTGTTGGACACATGAGGCTTTCAGAAACATTTCCATAACACCCATTGCCATTGCTTTTCTGAAAATCTGAAGCTGCTAAGGAAAGAAGAATCAAAGGGCCAGAGAACAAACGTGGCCAACAGGACTTTTATTATACTGTGGGTTTGTAATGTAGGATCCTGGTGGCCCTATCATGTCAAGTTCACATTTCTGAGTTTTCAAGACTTCTTGTTTTACAGTTTGCCTCATTGTGATGATAAGAAATAAGTAAACGTCTCAAGCTAGGTGCAAACCTCGTCTGTAGCTGTGCTCCTCTGTCTAACTCCAAAGCTATGCCTTTTGTCACAGAGCTTAGCGGATGGTGAGTTCCCTTGGTTTACAATGTCCTGTAGGATAGGACTTAGATAATCCCCTACTCATAAACCTGACCCCTGTCTTTATATTATGTTCCATTTGGAATATTGCTTCATCTAAGACTCAGAAAAAAAGTGAAACTCAAGAAGTTAAGAAATTTTCCTTCACTTAAATGGAAATTGTAGTTTCTGAGGATTTTGGAAGTGTCTGTACAGTTTCTTGGCTGGGGAAACAGTGGGCTGCTAACTCCATGTCAGCAGTTGGTTGTGTTGCTTTCCAGAGCGTTATCTAATGGGCCCAATGTGTACCTCAAGAGAATCCAGTATGTTATGTCAAAAATAATCCATTGTCTGTTGATTTAAATGGTTCTGAAATGTCTATAAATAAAGAAATTTTCAAGGTTGCTCTTGTGGTTTTTCCTGAGTGAGTCAGACCTAGTACTGACTTCTCAAAGGCCTCATTCTCCAACCTCAGACATGAGGAACTAGAAAGGGATTCTAATACTGCAAACCCCATTCTGAATTGAGACAGGCAAAATAAAAGCAACAGTTTATAGACTCTGGTAACCAGGCAACCGTGTCATTCAAAAAAGGACCCAGTACCTGTGTGGTCAAAAGACAAGTGCAGATATCTTTTAATTTGAAAGAAAGTATACATGTTCCTGTGAGAGGGTAGCTATTGCAAATTCTGTCTTTGGCGTCAGTATTGTTCAGCTCATGCAGAGATGGCCCAGAGCAGCGCTCCCAGGTGCTGGTGAGGAGGCAGGCCTATTCACCCTACTGTATAAGTAAGTTTTACAGAGAGACTGGAGGATGACAGATTGGTTAGAGTTTTCGTTGTTCTCAACTTATCATGAAATCACTTCCCACATCTTATTTCTCAATCAGAGGACTCCCAGAGTCATTCATGCCCCCTTTTCCTACAGTCCCACTTTCCCAGAGCTAAGCACTTGAAGAACCATACACATGACTAAACCTAAAAGCTCTAAGTCGGGGTCCTAATAATGCCTACCTTGGGTATACTGGGATGCTCCACAAACGATATTGCTGAGAAATTTGAAACTGGAAATAAGTTGCATTAGGACCACATGTCCTCTGATTCCTATGGAAGAGGCTAGAAAATACATAATCTACTGAAAATATTAAGCACAGGATGCATCCTACTTTGCCCAATTGACTTTCACCTATGCCTGCTCACCTTGGCCCCTTCTTGCTTGGAT